ACTGGGGATGTGCCCACAACCAAGGTACATGCCCTTGACCGGAATTGAACCTGGGACCCTTGAGTCCGCAGGCTGACGCTCTATCCACTGAGCCAAACTGGCTAGGGCACCTTCTTGGATTCTTATTAGGCAAGTTACCAAGAACACTGAGTGGCGTATGAGGAGCTTAGCCAATGAGCGGTCAGAAAAGGTGTTTCCTCTGCAGCTCATGCGCAGAGGTGGGACTGCCAGCGTGCTGCAGCTGGCCGGCCCTGCTGTCTGCAAGCCTGCTCGCTCGCTCACCATGGTGCTTGGCAGCCAGGCCCTGCTCTCTGTGCCTGCCTTGCCCCGCCAGCAGGCCGCCAGCCTTGCTGTGATAGGAGCCTGTGGGATGCGGGGGGCAGGACCCAGAGGTGCTCCATGCTCTTCCTGGTGATGGTCATCTGTCTGGTTGTGATGGCCCTAGGCTATTATTGGTATAGATAACATTCTCAAAATTACAACATTACTATAGAGATAGAAAACAGATTAGCCCTTGTCAGGGACAGAGACAGGGAATGGGGTGAGAGTATGGATACAAATACAAAGAAGTAACACGAAGGAGTTCTTTTGTGGTGATGTAAACATGCTGTATTTTGATAATATTGCATAAAGCTACACATACAAATGACCAAATGATGCAGGTTAAAATGGGGAAAACTGAATAAAGTCTGTAGTCTGATTAACAGTAATATGCCAGAGTTGTCAATATCAGTTGTGACTCATACTGGTTTTGACATTGTACAATTTTATCTCATTATAGATGTGTGTAACCAGCACCACAGTCAAGATACAGCACTGTATAAGGTGTCACTAACAGGGGTGACTGGGTGAAAGGTATATGGGACTCTTTGTACTGTTTCTTCAACTTCCTGTGAGTCTATAATTATTTCAAAATAAAAAAGTTTTAAAAAAATTAAAAAAGCAATTACCAAAGTGATTTACATATTGTTATCTCATTCTTGGTCATTAATAAAGCAAAGAGAGGCAATCCACCTTCATAAAGATGTTTATTCACTTGAGTTCCTCTCTGTGGTGTCTTCCTGGATTTCTCCTGCATGCTCTTATCTATGCCTCATTTATTCACATTGTTATATTATTTTGCAAGTTTTTGTGTAAACAAATTAAATTGTTCATATGTACTAAAAATCTGTTTTGTGAGGATTTATTATTCTTTGTTGTTCTTTATCACCCTTCATTTATTGAATTTTATAGGAGTCTTACCTTTTTACTTAGATTAATTTCTATAAATCTTAATTATTTTTAATTTGGTAACTATACCAAATACTAAATATTTTCCTCCTTTTAATAAACCAAGTAAATAATTGTTTAAAAACATTTTTATTTATTTCAGAGAGGTAGGAAGAGGGGAGAGAGAGACAGAAACATCAATGATGAGAGAGAATCATTGATAGGCTGCCTCCTGCATGCCCCTTACTGGGGATCAAGACCACAACCCAGGCATGTGTCCTGACTGGGAATTGAACTGTGACCTCCTGGTCCATAGGTCAATGCTTAGCTACTGAGCCACACCGGCCAGGCACCAAGTAAATAATTTTTAACATGTTTAACATATTAGTAAGAATAACAGGTGTCACATTTACTATTTGACTGCCTAGTATCTTAAGCAGTTTAAATATATCATAACCTAATATGGCACCTATCTAGAAGTTACCTTATATCTAATTATTTCTTTATAGTATCCACTTGCATAGATGACTCAATATACTCATTTGTTTTTTACAAATTAATTTATATCTTCATATTAACTAAAAAGTAAAAATAATCATTCACATTGGAAATGACAACCTTTTAATACTTAAATTAAATCTTAGCTTTTATTTTACAAACCTTTATTCTTCTGGCCAAGAGTATCTTTGCTTGCTGGTTTAGAATTTCTAACTTCTCTACAATTTTTTCTGCCATTGTCAGTCATTAAATTCCTATTTAAAAAGGAGAAAAATAAAACAATTTAAACATATCATTGACCATTTAGGCATAAATTAAGAGACTCACCTTTATTTTACTGTTTTAGGTAAATAAAAAACTGTATAGATAGATCATGGAATAAATCATAGAATTTTAGAGGTCAAAGCTTTTAGGTATAAAGTCACATAATCAGAACTTTCAGATGTGTGTGGGCCCTAGGAATTTTTAAATGTATGATAAAGGTGAGTTGAAGAAAATTCAAGATTACCGTATGAGCAGATGTGACTCATACTTTAATATACAGCATGATTTATATCTATTTTCTTTTGTCATAATATATTTTTTAAAAATATATTTTATTGATTTTTTACAGAGAGAAAAGGAGAGGGATAGAGAGTTAGAAACATCAATGAGAGAGAAACATCGATCAGCTGCCAAGGTACATGCCCTTGACCGGAATTGAACCTGGGACCCTTGAGTCTGCAGGCTGACACTCTATCCACTGAGCCAAACTGGTCAGGGCTGTCATAATATCTACACTAATAAAAGAGAAACATGGTAATTGGCGTATGACCGCTACCCTTCCCATTGGCTAATCAGCATATCCTTATGCAAATTAACTGTCAGCCAAGATGGCGGCC